GCCTGCTTCTCCCTCTCCCACTCCCCCTGCTTGTGTTCCTGCTCTTGCTATCTCTGTCTCTGTCAAATAAATAAATAAAATCTTAAAAAAAAAAAATAATAATAATAATTATCTCTAGTGTGTTGATAATATAAAAAATATTCATGGCAATATCAAATAGAGTGTGGACCCAGTGGAGAAGGTGATGCCACTACACTTGTGGCTCTTGAAGGAAAAACGGAATATATTGTGGTTTTTTTGATGTAATACTGTAATAAACTTTGATCTACTCTCTAAGAGAATCCGGTTTCTTCACACCATTTCCTTTTTAAGCCTATTGCATTCTAGGATTTCCTTTGATTGCCCCTCTCCTGCAACTTGATTATCTTCCTCTTCCTTAGATTCCTGTTTCATTTTCCTGTAGTACATCCTTAAGCAGCTCTTTTAGGAGTGGTCCGTGAGTAATAAATTTCCTCAGTCCTTGGAAGGACTGAGTTTAAAAAAAAAAAAAAAAAAGTAAAATAAAGTAAGTAGTGGAAGTAAAAAAAAAAAAGAATATTTTGCTCCCCCACTTAAATGCTAATTTGGCTGGCTATAGAATTCTAGACTCAAAATCATTGTCCCTCAGAAATTTTAAAGTCATTATTCCCTTGTGTTCTAGTATATAGTGTAACTGTTAAGAAGTGTCATGCCGATTCTCAACCTCTGATTTTTTTTTTCTTTTTGGAATCTTTTTAGGAGTCTTTTGTCTTTGGATTTGTGAAGTTTCTCCAAGATATGGCTATCATTCATATGGATTAGCACAGGATGAGACCTTCCTGTTTGAGGATGTGGATCTTTCTTTAGCTCTGGGAGATCTACTTTTTCTCTACTCTCAATCTGAAACTCCTATTAGATGTATGTTGGCTCTTCTTTGTTAGTCCTCTCTGTCTTTCAACTTTTCTTTTTGTCCTCTTGTTCTACATTCTGAGAGATTCCCTTGACTCTTTCCTCTAGCCTTTTTGTTGAGTTTTCCATTTTAGAATTATATTTCTAACACTTATTAATTATTTGGGGCTTTTTTTTAAGATTTTATTTTGAGTAATCTCTACACCCAGTGTGGGGCTCAAACTCATGACCCTGAGATCAAGAGTCACATGCTCTTCTGACTGAGCCAGCCAGGCACCCCATATAGGTTTGTTTTCTTTTTTAAGTGTCATCTATTTATATTTTATAGATGCACTGCCTCCTCAAATTTCTCTGAGAATATTAATTTGAACTTTTTAAAAAGTTCACTGCTATTCCCTGAACTATTTCTGTTTCTCCTAGGGTGAATTATTATTCATTTTCGCCCTGCTGGTTTTGTGCAACTATCTTACGGCCCTCAGTTGTCCTTTGGGGCTTTTGAATATGAGAAGCCAGATTAATTACCGGGGTACTTTTCTATCACCAATCTCTTTCCAGAATGAAAATGCTGATTACATGATCTGTATGTGCAGGCTGAATATGTCAGCTGACAGGCAGGAAGACTTCCCTCTCTCATCCCCATGCCAAAGTGAGTAAGGTTCTACTCTGGGCTTCCCAACTACTGCCATCCCGGGACATGACTTGGTTTCTTAAGAAGACTTCTCTAGCCACCACCTAAGACAAACACTGCCAAAATATGCACAAAGTTGAGAGAGGAGAAGAGGAGCAGCTGACCCACACATCCTTTCCACTCACTGTTTTCCATCAGTTACCTTAAACTTGTGCCTTTCTTCCCACTCCAGATTTTTGTAGCCAATCATTTAAGTAGCTGGGATCATTTAAATGGAAGACATCTCTCTTGTCCCCTGAAGCTTCTTGTGTGCTCAGAGCTGTGCCTCTTTCTTCACTGCTTTACCAAAGATTAAAATCACATTTACCTTCCATCTTAGAGAAATTCACCAAAACTTGATTTGCTAATATAGCCCTGCTCCTCCACCTCTCATTTCACTCATGGATTGATTTCCTCTTGTACTTCTTTACTATCATTGTAATGGGATTTCAGGAAGAAGGATGGGTAAAAATGGGAGCTCTTCATCTGCCTCAAAATGAATGCCCCACTTGAGTCATTGGGATTTACTAAATGTCATAGGAAGCCACTAGAAGCTCTAAGCAGGGGCAATGTGAACTGATTTCCATTTTTCAAAGATCACCCTGGATGCTCTGTGGACAAATACGGAGTGAGAGGTCATTGCAGTAACTGATACCCACTAACCACATGTGCTATCCAATATAATATCTACTAGCCTTCTGTGGCTTCTGAGCCCTTGGAATGTGGCAAATACCACTGAAGAACAGAATTTTGGTATTATTTAATTTGAATTTGAAAACTTGATACCTGGTTCAGTTATTAGAGAACTTCAATATTGGGAACAACTTGGGTATCTCAATCTACTTTTGCAGCTATACATTTTATGAAATCTAAATATAGATGAAGTATTTTGGATGAAAACTAGCATCCAAATTGAATTGTGACTGTAACTGCCAAGTATAAAAATTTAGTGCCTTAGTCTGTTCAGGCTGCTATAACAAAGTACTGCAGACTGGGGGCCTTAAGTAACAAACATTTCTTCCTCACAGTCCTAGAGGCTGGGAAGTCCAGTATTAAGGCATAGGCAGATTTGGTGTCTAGTGAAAGCTCACTTCCTGGTTCACAGACAGCTGTCAGACTGTGTCCACACAGGGCAGAAGGGCCACGGGAGCTCTCTGGGATCTCTTCTATAACGGCATGAATCCCATTCGTGAGGGCTCCACCCTCATAAGCTAATCACCACCCAGAGGCCCTACCTCCAAATACCATCTCATTAAGAGTCAGGATTTCGGGGCGCCTGGGTGGCTCAGTTGGTTAAGCGACTGCCTTCGGCTCAGGTCATGATCCTGGAGTCCCAGGATCGAGTCCCGCATCGGGCTCCCTGCTTG